TTGTGTGTACTCCCCTTTTTGGGGTTGGGGTGAGTCTTTAGTCCGGGCCCCGCCTTTCACGTTGCTAGGGGCCCTCTTCCCCCCCAGAGCTTTACAAACCTGTTTTTAAAATGTGCTTGTTCCTGCCCCATAGTCATTTTTGGGTTTTTCCATGCTTCAACTCTAGATGGAAAAAATTTCTAATCCTCTGATCATTTGTGTCTTAAATTCCAATTGTGGCCTCTTGTTTTCTGTGTCCCCCCTGGAACTCCTGCTTTGTCCATTGTTTTTCCCACGCGTTTTTATATGTGTTATCATGTCTCCCCGACCCCTTCCCCCCATGTCTCACATTTTCCCTTAATTTTCTTATAAATTCCCCACCAAATTTTTTTTTTGCAAACCTTTGCTTTTCTAGTTTTTTGACGTGTTTATCAAGTGCGGTTCCAAAACAGGTGCTGATACTCCGTAGGGGCCTGCTACACGGTGACTGTTTTGATGATTCCTTACAAAGGTATGGGAAATGCTGTTTAGGTTTGCCGGGCGCCCATTGCTGCACAGTTATTGTTGATGTGTGCTTCGGAGACATGCTCGGGTTTCTCCCCCCAAGACTTTCCCCTTGAGGGGTTTGGTTTTTGGGCCACCTACCCTTTTTCTCTGTTGTGGTCTTCTGTCCCCTTTCCCCCCATTTTATTTGCATTTGGCAGGTTTTAAATTCAGAAGCCTTTTGGGGACCGGGTGTCCAGTTGCCCAGCCCCTTTGAAGCCTGTGGTCCTCATCAGTTTAAATTTCCTATTAATTCACATCTCTGCAAAAGGGACCTTCGGTCAAAACCCTTTCGTTTCGTTTACATCCCAAAAAATAGCATTGGTTAGGACCCCCCTGTGGGCCCCGTCGTAAGGGTGCCACTGTGACACATCTTCGTCCAACTGTTCTTCCCTCCCTGTAGGATTTCTGATCCTTGCGCCTTCCTGTTAATGCACTGTGTTTTCCTTCTCATAATCTCTTGTGAGGAACTGTGTCAAAGGCCTTCTTGCAGTCCAAGAAGATGAAAAAAACCCCCCCTTCTCCGTGTTTTTTTATTTTATCATAAAACTCCAAAAGGTTTGTGCGCAGGTTTTCCCTTTCCCGTGAATCCGGCGGGTTGGTTTTATACTTTGTTCCGTTCAGGTGTCCCCCTTCCTCTGTAATCTTCCAAATTTTGATAATACACTAAAATGAACCAGGTCTTGTTTAGTCCCTTTTTCTGTCCCCTTTTTTTAAAAAATGGGAATACATTTCCCATCCCCAACTCAGGCAGTGGGTGTGGTGTGTGTGGGTGGTGTTGTGTGGTGTGTGTGTGTGTGTGTGTGTGTGCACCAAATAGTGGGTGGTTGAAGGGCGAGTCAAGCTTTTGGCCCCCCCTTTTTCCTGCCGTTTGGGTTCACTTTTCCCTGCCCCCAGAGCTTTATCATCCCTTTCTTAAAGTATGAGGGACCCTGCCCCCATTCCCAATTTTTCCAGACTATTTTTCCGCAACTTGTGACTATGAAATATTCCCCTAACACCCAGTGTTCAACGAGTTTCAATTTCCCAAATGTGATCCCTTGTTGCGTGCCCCACTCTGGAACATCCTCTTTTCTGTCCCCCTTTGTCGTTCCTTAAAATTTTTATATGTCGTTATTATCTCCCCCCGACCTCCCCCTGTTTCCGTGTCGTAGGGTTTTCCCCTTTAAACCCCCTCGTAGGCATATTTTAGTTTGGGGGATAGTCTTGTTGCTACCTTTGCATTTTCTCTATTTTCCCGTACGGGGTTTGGGCCAGGTGGGGGTTTCCCAAACTGGGCTGCTATTCAATAGGGGCCCCAAACTACCATGAACGGGTCCTAAAAGATACCTTTTAAAGGGTGTCGGATTTTTTCTTAGATTTGCTAGGCCCCCATATGCGCGAGTTATTTGGTTGATGTGCCCCTAGGGATGCCCCCGGATTATAAACCCAAGACCCTTTTCTTTTGGTAAGGTTTGTACTTTCTGGCTTCGGGGGTATCCCCTTGTCTGGGTCTTCTTTGCTTTCCCCCCAAATCTTCATGACTTTGACTTGGTGGGGTGAACCCCGGGGCCCAGTTGCGGGCCCAAAACCAGCCGCCCAGATCCCTTTGAGTTTTGTTTTGTGTGTTGAGTGAAACCCCAAAATTTGTACTCTTTAAATTGTGGTTGAGGACTGAGTATGCTCAGGGCCCCCCTCTTCCTGTGTGTATGTGTGAGAGGAGACAGAAAAACAGAAGAGAGAAAGAGAGAAAAAGAAAGACTGGCATTTTCTATTATTTAAGGATTGAAACTTAAAATTTAAAAAATAATTAAAATTTAAAATGAAAAAATTTATACAGAAAGTTAATCGAAACGCTTTAAAAATACAAAAAATTTTTACCCAAAAACAAAAGATGCAAAAAGCAGTGGTTGTATTCAGTAATCGGGGTTCTATTTTTTGTTGTTACATCGAAGTTTGGCGCTTTAATTTTAAACTCATTGTTTTTGTAGGAAAAAAAGAGGACAATTCAAGAACAAAGGTCCCGGGGGGCTGTTGGTAGGGAGTGAGCGGGTGCGTTCGTCGGTCTTCCAGATACGTTTGGGGAACCTAAAGTGCACTCCTTTACGTTACCCTTTGGTGAACAAAACTTTTTTTTTCTTTGCGTTAAATTTTAGATTTAAATTTAAAATGATTTTTAGTACTGTGGATTTATAATTGAAAATTTGGGTAATTATTTACTCCCAAAAGTTGTCAGAAAAACAAGAAATCTTGGCCTATCTATGGTTCTTTAGCTCCCCTGAAAAATGTTTCTCGTTTGGTTTTTTCATAGATGAAAAACAAGAGGGATGGTCCAAAAGAATTACAGGGGGGGGCTGGAACCCGGGCGAAAAAAGGTAAGATGATTCCCCTAGCTGAGCAGCTCAGAACCCCTCTCGGTTTACCCGACCATGGCTTTTGGATCCCCTTTTGCCCCCAATTTGCCCCAGGAACATAATTAAGAGGTCAGCATCAATGAACATGTTGATCCCAGACGTTGAAGAGCCTGGAAGTTGTCAAGCTGAATCAAGAAAAACTCTTGCCCAATAAAGCTTTCTTTCAAATGTTAGAAAATTTTCAAAAAGACTTACATAGTATAAATTTAAAATTTTTTTTGTTAAAAGGTAATTTTTACTGGCATTAGTGTAAAAGGCGGGGTAACACTAACGCAAAATAATGTTATAAGGCATTACTGTGTCTGGCCGGGTTTGATGTGTGCACGTGAAATTCTGCTTATCAACCCTGTTTTAGTTTTCTATTAGATTAAAAACTATGTTTAAAAATTTATAGAACATTAAAAAATTGTGGCAATGAAACATTGAAGTGTAGGAAATTTTGTTAAAAATTGTCATTTTTTCATGAAAGGATAAGTGACGGTTTTTAAAGCACGAAATGGTTCAAAGGGTTATTAAGAAAGTAATTTTTAAAAGTGGGTAAAAAAAAAGAAAAAGCAAAAAAAATATAAGAACAGACAATCACCCAATTTCTGTCTGTGAAAAAATGAGTGTGGTTATTATATTTAATCAAGGGGGGGAAGGGGAAAACCCGGGGGGTTATACAGGGCTGGGGGGGGGTGTGGAAGGGATTCGGCTTAAAAATTTGGGGGGAAATGGAGAACGATCCCCAAATTCCCCAAATCAAGGCCCCCCACTAACATCAAGGAATTTCCCTTGAGGGGGAAGTCGGAGCAATACAACAGATACGCAGGAAAGGCGCTGCAAAACTTTAAAAATTATAAAGTCTTGTATACTAAATGTTTTTGTAACACTGCCTCATCAAGGAAAAGGGGAATGTGCCGGGGTACCCGTGAAAAATTTTTTTCAAAAATTGGGTTCCCTTCCATTTCGTGGATCAACCTGACTGCCCCTTCCCCAGGGACAATGCCCCTTTTTGATTTAGGCTTCCCTATGATTTTTACATTCCTCAAAAAAAAGGCGTCATTGTTTTATTATATAAAAAGCCCCTTTAAAACTAAAGATTTTGACCCGGACTGCACGTTATGGGATTTTGTTATCAGACATAGAGTTGATAATCCACAGTAGAAGAGATCAACAACCAGAGTAATAAATATGAAGCCAGAAAAATATTGTGATATGATGCTATAACTATTCAAGGCTAAGTTTCTGATGTCGCTGAAGAGCTTTTGATTAAAGGAAATGGAGCTATCCTTTCCTTCCTTGGATCAAATCTGATTACCTCATGTTTCCCCACACACTATTACCCCACTCTGAGTATAATAATAATAACACAGTAGACTGTTATATTACACGGTTTTATTTGGCATGTTTTGGTTAATGCACTATTGAAAAATTGCAGCACAGTATTATGCAACACTTCGTAAAATTAACTTAACACGGTTCGGTTTGCGGGAGGGAAAAATTGAGAGCGTCGCCCGCGGGACACTTCCCCAACACAGTTAGGAGCTAGCTGTGTTTACGTTAGTGAATTGAGTTTAGATCTTTTAATTGCCATATCTTGTATCTGCCAAGCAATCATGGCACCCAGTAGGCATAAAAGTGTTACTGAAAGTGGCAAGGAAAGGTTTAAGCGTTTAAGTCTAGGAGTTACGAAGAAAATCGAGATATTAGACAAGCTTAAGAGTGGCTCACGTGTGGTGGATATAGTGAGCGCCTATGGCCTTAATGAAGCATCAGTTTGTACAATTAAAAAGAACGAGCTGAATATGAGCTTGTGTAATGAATAACCCAGGATGTCATCTCATGAAAAGAATGACACGTACATCACAACAAGTAAATCAAACTGGAAACTTGTTGCTTGAGTGGATCGACAGAGGGTGACAGAAAAAAATATTTATTGGTTTAAGCATCACTTTATTCCTGAAGTCAAGTTTTACCTGTACAGCAAAAACCTTGCATTCAAGGCTCTCTTCATTCTTGATAATTCCCGTGCTCATCCACAAGCTTTGTTGGATGTAACCCCACATGTAAAAGTTGTATTTTTACCTCCAAATACAACATCTTTAATACAACCACTAGATTGGGGAGTTATTAAGTCATTCAAGTGTAACTACACGAAAAAAGTTATGAAAAAACTAGTTGCATCAATGGACTCCAACCTGCCAGTAACAATTTAGCATTACAGATGGCATAAGCTATGCTAGAAGTGCATGGAATGAAGCGCCCCAGTCAACATTAAATGCAGGCTGGGAAAAGTTATGGCCTTCTGAAGTTAATTCTTTCACTGGTTTTCCCTTGCTTGGGAGTCAGGTTCAGAAGGCAAGGAGATTACCAGTTGATAGTTTTGAAGATATGAATGAGCTCGATGTACAGATACAAGGGAGCCACATAAGAGAAGATGAAGAACCTGAAGAAAAACAGTTAACATTGCAACAGTTACGTGAGCAGTTCCATGTTAAATAAAAAAAAGGCACAATACTGTGACTGGAACGATACACAAATAACCCGCACATAGCTGACTTTTTCCCCGAAGATGACCCTGACAAATCTAGAAGCAATGCTTTGGAAAGAGGTCTAGACCAGCTGATGATGCCTTACCATCAGCTGTACAATGTACTGCAGGGGAAAAGAATCCAGAGATCCATTACAAAATTTATGCACACTCCAATACCAGAACCTCTACCATCCACTAATGCCGACAACCAACAACCATCCACCTCAGCCCAGTATGGCCAGACCCACATCTCCCCTCTCTTCACAAATCATCCACAAACACCATACCCACAATTTAAGGTAAATACTATTATTTCTGTTGCCTTTGTAGCCTTAAGCAGTAAAAACATAATATATCACGACAATGAACTACAATTACATATTCACTTTTACTTTTGTAAGATCTCTTGGTCTAAAAAAAGTGTTTAGCTTGTGGGGGGGGGGGCTCCCGAACGTACCCCTAATTTTTCCCATCAGTTTCTTCAGTTTTATCTAATACAGTTTTACCTTACACAACTATTTTGAGGAACGTAACTATGTATAATATAACGGTCTACTGTAATCATAAGTAATTATTATTAATTAGAAGAACGAAAAGGTACATATAAAACGTGGTGGTGAAGGTATATAGGCAAATTAACAAAAAAAAAAAACACGATGTGGCAGATTACCAGGATAAAAAAATCTGGACACTTTTCAAAGAATTATGGAGGAAAGAGACGTGACTGTTTGTTACATGATATATATCTTCTCTGCAGTGAGAATACACGAGTAATTTGTATGCCTTATTGAAGGTTATAAATTTAATTTTCAATTTTTATACCTTCCATAAATATTCAGACGTTTTCATTCTCATAGTTAAAATCGAACCTTTAACAGTAGATAAACCTGAAGGGTGTTCAGGGTCAACGCCCCCCCCGTGCAGTGGTCCCTGGCCGGATATTGCTCAAAGTTACCTTCGTTTTGAAGGAACAAACGTTGCTCTGCAGGTAACAGTTCAACCTGACACCAGTTACAGGACAAGTTTTTGTTGGGACAACTTTTCTCTCTGTGTAGAACTAACATTGTAATAATATAAGCGTGTTCTGCGCCTGTAGCTTTCCATCACTGCAGTTGGAAGGATGAGACGTAAATGTAAAATATATACACCACTCACTCCAGTCGAAATAACCTCAATTTCCAACCCTCTTAGAGACCACAAGCAGCCCATTTCTATGTACAATAACCACGTCAAGCTAGTTTCATAAGAACATAAGAACATAAGAAAGAAGGAACACTGTAAACTAGGCCCTACTGACCCATGCAGAGCAGGTCCATGTCCCCCCCCCCCCGGATTAGACCAGTGACCCACCCCCTCCGCATTATCCCAATGGCATACCCAGTCTGGTCATCTCCACTCAAGGATGGAGCACTGCACCAGACCCAGAAGCACAAGCTAGTCAGGTCCACCTCTTCAAGGGGGGCTCCTTGGCGTGGTGAAGAGGCTCTTGGTCTGAGGAATTAGACATGTTGGTCTCCTTCCTCAGACCGAACCTAATTACCCCCAATCCCCCCTCCTTTATCCCATCTTCTTTTTCTTTTCCTCCTCCTCCTCCCCACCCCTCCCTATTACCCTTCCTCTTTTTTTTTCACAGGCACGCTAGTTCCTGGGTAGGGGAAAAGGTACTGGGGTCCATCTCATTCCGTTGGGGTCCTTGGCGGTGGTGTAGTTTGCCGTGGAATCTGGATAGCCTGGGGATGTCCCAATCCCTCTTCGGTCTCCCGCGGAGTGGCTTTGGGTATCTTTCGGGCGACGGGTGTATCTCTGGAGGCTGCCTTTTGGATTCCGGGGGTGGTGGCCAAAGGAGGCATGCTTTGTGGTGGATATCCAGCCACCCTCTCTTTTGTCCACCGAGGTAGCTCAGCAGATGTGAAGTTGCTATCCCGGATTGCTGGTTTACTAGCATGATGGGTAGGGTATGGCATGGGTTCCATGCTGCATCTGCACTACTTGCAGTGCTGAGGTCCTCTTGGGCATGGAGGGAGATTTCTGGTCCTCTCACTTCTCCCAGGAATTATCCCTCCCCAGTCCCCCCTTTTTTTATTCCTTTTTTTTTATTTTTATTTTTTATTTTCTTTTTTTTCTTAAAAACAAAAAGAAAGAAGTAACCTAACCATGGAAGCCCTAGTCCATGAACCTGCTACTCCCAGGCCCCTTCTTGATACTGCACCCCGTTCTGACCCCACCTCATCTTTGGACCACTCTTCGGACACTCCTAATGCCTCTGTACCTCTTGCCGGTGCTGCTTCCTCACCCGCTTCAGGTACTGAGGTCTCGACTGACTCCTTCGATTTATCTGACCTCTGCTCTCCTTTGACTATGCTTCCGGTCTCTCCCTCTACGGTGCGGCAATTTTCGAATCGCCGGCCCGTTCCACGTCGGATCAACTCTGGTCCCACGTGTAAACGCCAATGACAATTACCTGCTGATGATACTTCTCCACCTTCTCGTTCTTCTCAGAAAAGATCGACACGTCCTGCACTCCCTTTCCACACTCAGTTTCAGAATGCACAATGGACTAAATTCTTCACTTTACGACCGACTTCCTCTATTGCC